TTCTTTTCTTCAAGGCTGGAATCAAGATCCACAGTACCCTTCCGGTACATGTTGTTTCTATCTTCATTTATAGTTTTTTTTTTAGTTTCATAGATTGAATAATTATTGTATTTGTGATAAGGAACTACAAATGAATATTATTCATATTATTATTATGTGTAATGAATACCCACTTTAGAAGAAATGATAATTTTTTCTCAAAGTGAGTGAACAGATTACACAATTTCATTACCAAGTTAATGGCAAATTCAAAATGGGGTTATATGTTTTTCAGGATGAAAGGTTCAACCATGAGGTCGACAGTAGGACAGGTTACAGGACGAAGTCTCTTCTGTGCATGCCCATCAAAGACACCAACGGTGACGTCATTGGAGTTGCCCAAGTAAGTAAAATTCCGGCATTAGAAATGAAACTGACTGATGAAAATTCAATAATTTCAATAAGAATATAATTTAGTGTAAGATCTCAGTTCAGCACTGAGAATAGTATACTATGATGGGTCGAAACATGCATAATATATTATTTTTCCAGGCATATCTTGGTAAGTATCTATTTGGATCAAATTTTCAAATCTCTCAACTGAAATGAGCAAAGTGCTCTTATCATGCATGTGATGAATCAGTTCAATTTGCTCTGGAATTGGTATGATGTGAATATTTGTTTCAGGTTATAAATAAAGTTGGCGATCAGCTCTTCACCAAGGTGGATGAAGAAGTATTTTCGAAGTACCTGCAGTTTTGCGGCATCGGACTCAGGAATGCTCACCTGTACGAGAAGTCGCAGTTAGAAATAAGAAGGAATCAAGTACTATTAGATTTGGCTAGGATGATATTCCAAGAGCAATCAACGTTAGAGCACGTCGTCTACAGGATTTTACTCCACACACAGAGTCTCATCCAATGCCAAAGGGTGCAGGTGAGTTTAATTGAAATGCTGACTCAAAAAGTCCCCCTTTCCTTCGATTGTAAAACCTTCGAACGGGACAAGATAACGAGATGGGATGAAATTTATATAAAAGGGCATACTTCTTGATATTTTTCGATAAGAAACACATTGGTGTTTGCATCACATGTCGTCTAGAGGGAGCGAACAAGATAATTCGAATTTATTATAAAAACCTGACTGCATTAAAATAATAATTCGTATAAAAAGTGTCAATAAGATCTCAGCTTGGGACTACTCGATGTTGTGTTGATGGGTCCAAACATGGTCTGCTATTCCTGATTTGCTGGTTTCCCCTCGCTGTATGCGCAGCAAATCAGGAATAGCAGACCATGTTTGGACCCATCAACTCAACATCGAGTGACGGAAGTACATTTTTTCAAACGGCAATGTTCACAGACAAAATTGCCGTTATTGGAGTGACACCAACCCTCACGTTTTCCAAGAAACACGTACCCAATATCCAGATAAAATTAACGTTTGGGCAGGAATATTAGAAAACCAATTTCACTTCAAAATAAAGTAATAATGCAATAATTTCTTTATCCCAAATTTCAATTTTTTGAGTTGACCTTTTGAGTTGACCCGTTGAAAAACTGAAAGGGGGGGACATTAATGAAATGCACTGTAGAATGAGTATTCTGAAGTCATTTCATTTCGTAGTGCTAGTGATCTAACTGTATTTCATATTCGACACTGGTTCATTTTTTCAAAACGGATCAGCCGTTCCTGAGTAATGAGCAGTTTTTGCAGTCACAATATGAAATATTCCTAGGTTAGTTTCGTTACAAGAACCTCTTTATGATAAAAATTCACTCTCACAAAAATAGATCCACAACCACCTACTTCAATTTTCAAATTCATAAGTGCCTGTCAACCTAAAGACAACCTAAAACAAATGTGCGAGATCAGGCTTTAAAATTCACTACTTGAAAGAAAATCAACGCAATCACCTATTTTCTTCATCATGCGTGTTGCATCCATACAGTTTATGTTGTCAAGTTGTTGTGGAATTGGCCGCGGTGGTAGTGCGCCCGACTCACGATCGGAAGGTGGTGGGTTCGATTCCCGCCTCGACCAGTTATTTTTCTCGAGAGAGAATTTACCTGGTTGAAGCTGGGATGATTCTGCAACCGTGTTAGGAATCACATGTTAAAAGGTAAGACATCGTTAGTCCTCAGCTCGCACAAGTTTCTCAATTTCTGAGAGTTGTCGTTCGTATGGGGGCGACAGCTGATTAACGGAAAAAACATATTTCAAACAGATTTTCAACAGAAGTGGATAATGAATATTATCATTATTATTATCACCAAAGGATAATCTGGTCGGGCCTTGTTCCCGAAGGTCTGACACATTTGGGAAGGCGCACCAGCATTATTGATCAATGACCACACCCCACACCGTGAGGTAAGTGATTATTGGGTCCGAGAAGCATGTGACCTGAGCAGGCTCAATGTGCCAAGAAGCACAGCCCCTTCGTGCAGCAAGCCAGCATGATCTCAAGATTCGAGAGTAGAGTGAGCAGCATTCCACCAAGGACCCAAATAATCAGAACAATTATCTTAACAGTGTGGAGGTTAGGTATGGTAGTGAGCACCTTCAACAAGTCTACCAAGCTCAACTGAAGCTGAGAACTCAAAGTCCATCCGAGAGTCTGCAGGAGTTTGGGGCTGATGTCGAAAGTTTGGTGAGACTAGCTTACCCAGAAGCACCTGATAACTTCACCCACTGGATTAGTGTCCATAGTTTCATCGACGGGGTTCATGACACGGAGCTGCAGCATAAAAAATTGAATGAAGCCATCATTTATGCCCTAGAATTTGAAGCTGCCAAAAATGCTTCGCGACAACGACGAAAACGTCTAGTGAGGGCTATCAATGAAAAGGAAGACGAAGGAACAGATCAACTCATGGTAGTACTTATGATGCACTGTTTGGAACCTTTGGTGTAGTAATGAATAATTTTTTCCCCAGCACCAAATCGTTATTGATCATCTTCAAAGAGGAAGATTTAAACTAGAAACTAATGCGAGCTAACCCTATTCATGCTATATAGGTATCCCCTCCAGGTAAATCATCCAGGCGTACCACCCATACAGGTATACCAACCTAAATTAATTTTACAATTTTGGCTTATCTATTATTTTACAATATATGTTTATATAATTGTCGAGGTGTTGAAAATAACGTTTAGGTGTTGGGAAAAAACTCCAATAAAACTCATGGTAAGTCTATAAGAACTCTTTAAGACAAAAAGGCGGCCTAAATGTTATAACTGCGACAGAGAAGTACATTTAAGATGGGACTGTCGATCTCGTTCAACATCCAACAAAAGAAGAGATCGACGTTCGAGATCACCGAAACTAGAACATTGGGGTTCGGCTGCTGTATGCCAACACCCCAGGTATACGATTTCCATGATAGGACGCAACAGTAACAGCTCAGTTGTCTATGGATTTCTGAATAATCACAGAAATAGTTTGAAGAGGTTATTAGTAGACCCTGTTTTGGAAATAGCCACTGGAGATAGCTTGACAGTCTATGGAGAAGCTGAAGTGAGACTGAGGCTTGGAAACTACAATTTTATGGCATGCTCCTAACAACCATACGTTGTATGGAGTTATTGAGAATGACATCACGAAAGTGAAAGACTGGTTTGACTCAAATCTCTTGAGCTTGAATTTATCAAAAAGAAAAGTAGTGACCTATCGTTGCCAGATTCCAGCCGTACATCTAAATAATATTCAAATTGACGACGTAGCAACTTTTAAATTCCTTGGCTTGTTCATTGACGACAATTTAAAATTCAACAAACATGTAGATACTTTGAAATCGAAGCTCTCCTCTGGATGTTATGCAATACGGGTAACTGCATTTGGGCTCGGGTCTGCAGAAGCTAGAATGGTTTATCATTCCCTTTTTGAATCCCATCTTCGTTATGGTATTTGCTTTTGGGGCGTGTGTTCTACCACATGTCTTCAATCAGTATTACTAATACAAAAATGTGCAATACGATGCATATGCAAAGCCAAGCCTAGGGACTCTTGTCGGCCTCTTTTTGCCACTAACAGAATCCTGACTGTGGTCTCCTTATTTATATATGAGACAATCTGCCTTCTCTTCTGAATTAGGGTATTGTTTAACAACTTGGACGAGCCAATGTATCAAACCAGGCAAAGATTCAGCTTTAAATTACCGCTGCCTTCTTCAACCCTAGTTAAAGACTCCATTATTTATAACGGTCTCAATATGTTCAATCACCTTCCTCAAGCTATAAGAACCATAAATGACCTTAGAGCTCTTAAGAGTTGAAAGTTGAAAGACTTGCTTTCTGTGAGACCTTATTATAGCTCAGCAGAATTCTATGATGATAATTTTAATTGAGAAGACTAACTGTAATTTCTACGGTATTTTAATAATTTGATTCAATTTAGTTTAAACTGATTTATTTAATTTTAATGACCATGTTCTTATATCCTGAACGTTTGTGTTAGGTTATTATTATTTGAATGTCTCTTTTCAGTTCATGTTATCACTTATTTTCAGTGATTTTACTTTTGTGATACTTTTGTGATTCAATATGTATATGTTATTTATATTTCGCACAAGGCTCTGTCAATAGGAATTTATTCTTCAGACAATAAAGTATATTTGAATTGAATTAAATTGAACTGCTGTTAGTGGCCAACATTGTCGACGAATTCACTTTAGGGCTAGACACCATGTCCCCCTACGGATTCATGGTGGACATAAGAAACATACTGTTGAAAGTCGGAAACGAGAAAACTCCACTCAATGTGCCCTCTCAACCTTAAGACAGTGCCAAGGTGGTTATACTGGAAGATTCCAGAATCTCTCCCAACACTAAGGAAATTATTCAAGCGGAAATTGTTGGACATGGCGGCTTAGGCACAGCATTGATAGAGCCATCCGACGGCTCTGAAGCAGGGATTTTCGTGGCCAGATCCCTCGTAAATGGTAACAATCAGAACATTCCAGTAAGAATAATCAACCCTTATAATAACAGAGTAACTCTCAAGAAAGGGCAAGACAACGAGTACTCCTAATTTTGTTGATGGATGCATATTGCGGAAAATTCCGAATGAAACTGCCACGTACAGATACGTAAGCAACTTTCTTGAAGAGGATGTTTTCTCCCTTTCCCGCCTATCTCACGAACTCATCAACTTGATGTACTTGCCAGAGACCTGATTGTAAGAAGATAATGACAAATCAATACGAGAAGCTCCCACAAGAGGACGGAGTGGTTATTAATGAGATACGTTTCGCTTGAGAATCCCTTAATGGTTGTTAATGCACACAATATTCGAGAACGACATAAATGAAATGGAAATTGAAATTATATTATAGTCATATTATGTTTGATGCTGGCATGTAATGTGATAGAACACTGGAATAATCATACGGGGTGGACTAATGAAATAGAAACAAGGATTATTTCTCTAGTTCGTCTTCAGAAACAAGTTTTATTTCAAAGAAAAAATCACTCAATCATAATTGATTCAACACTCAATACTTTTTTTTAAATCGTCAATCCTTGGTAGACTTTTTTCTGTATGCATAATATTGACTTTCCATAATATGTTTCTTTTAAAGCGATAAGTCCCAACTATCGTTGTATAAAATACCCTTAAATCATATTTACGTTTCGTAAAATACGTAAAAATATGATGAAAATTTTTATTATTATGAACAACGTCATATTAACATCATAAAAAATATTAATAAATGAGGAAACAATGTACTGGATTATATTACTACGTATATCGCCACTTATGTCGTTATCTCTTCTCACTCACATACCTATTTACTTTGTACACAACCATGGAAATTATGTGAAAAATGAACTTTGCTGCCCTTTGAATTCACTATTACAAAACGAACGATGAATCAGCTACACTACAGCCTTTTATATCAAACAGAAAGATTATTGACAATTAGTTCGGCCCGGTT